ATATAAATATATATATGTGAATATATGAAAATTCAAGGATGCTTCTTTAAATATTGAAAACTATACCAACATTTAAGCAATAAAACACTTTTCCTTTGGTTTCGGGAACTTTTAAACCTCTACAAGGAGGATATTAGTATATTATCATTTTACTAAAGACAATGACTTTGTAGTGAGAGACTGTAATGTATTGTAAAATGTTAATTATTAAAAAATTAAAAAAAAAACCTTTAATAATAAAGAAAAACTCTTTTTAAAAATAGCTAGTGCCATTACTCTTCTAAAAAAGTTTTTAAAAAAAGAGTTTTTATTTTTGACAAGAAAGAATATATTTTATTATCATTTATATAAGCTAAAAAGGGTTATTGAGCCAGTATAAACTTACACAAAATCCATAGATTTTTATACATAAATCTTGTGCAAAGTTCTCATTATTAATATTTCAACTACAGACAGGAGAGATATATCGTTTTTTAAATAATTATTTCTTTAACAGTGAAAAATCATGATAAATTTTTGTCATATGTGAAAATAATAAAAAATAATACTCTAGTTATAATTTCATATCTCATATGCTAGAGAACCGTATGTCATAATTAAGTAAATATTATAAAACAGAATTGTGATATAAAAAATTAAGACTCGAAAGAAATAATATAATATAAGTTATATTATTAAATAAATTAATACATAATATTATAAATTTTAACAAAACATTAATTATTAAATAAAATAAAATTTATATTTTGATATTTTTAAATGATACAACACATCCTATATTATTCTTTCCAAATTTTTGTTATATAAAATTTATTTTTTTTTAAAGAAAATTTGTTCTTTTTTTTTTTCTCATTATTTAAAAGAAAATTAAAATCTAAATTTACCGCAAACAACAAGAAAGTATTATAGGACGGACGCCAAATATGTTGATGATGAGGTGGCAGATTCTGAGTGCTCACCTGGATGTACCGTAGAGAACAATCACATGATGGGAGCCGTAGACTAAACCCCCATATTAGAGCGTGGAGAGAGAGAGAGAGAGAAAGGTAGAGGAACTAACACAGTTCTGAGCAACTTAGAGAGAGAAATCAGAAACCAAGAAAAAAAAAAGACAGAAACAGAAAGCAAAGAGGTTAGAGAGAGAGAGAGAGAGAGACAGAGCGGTTTTGGGATTCGGAAACGTCGATTCAGCAAAACCCAAAACACCACCAGCCAGCGACGACGACGACGACGACGACGACGATAGCTACGGCGGCTTCCCCCTGACCGGACTCAGTAAAAGCAGTATTCCACTCTCCCTCCGCCACTTAAAAGCGGTTTTAAGGGACCAGAAAAAAGCGGAAAGCGGTTTTGTAACTGAAACAGAGCGGGCCTTAGATAAAAATCTCACCCAATAATATCACTTCACACACATAACCGTCGTGTCTCCTTAGCCCTTCCCTTCTTTCCTTCTTTATTATTATTATTTTTTTCTCTTTTGGTTTTCTCGCCTTCGTTAGGTCTCTTGCTCATTAATGGGGTAGCCTCTCACTCTACTGTCTCCACCAGAAAAAAATTTTTTTTTTCCCTTTTTTATTTGAACTTCTTCTGTGGAATCTGTGTTTTGCTGTTCTGCATCGCCTGTACGAGTAAGACTTTGTTTCGATGGCAGCTCTAAGGGGTTCGTCGGTTTGTCGTGGGGATTCAGGTGAGCCAGACGGGGATAATCGATTTTCCTGTCTATTTTTTTGCTTTGTTTTCCTGGAATGGCTCTGTTTGGTGGCAGAGGGAGTTTGAGGAGTTTATTGGATTTTGGTTGCTGTGGCAAAATGAGGAAGTTTTAGCTCCGTTTGGTTGCCGAGAAATGAGATGGGGGAAAAGGAAACTGGAATTTTGATTCGTAGCGAAATCGGTGTTGTGTGTGGGATATAAACCTGCTGAGCTGAGTTTTGCAGCTTTATTTTGGTTCCGTTGTGTGGTTCTGTTTCTTTTAGAGGCGGAAATCATGAGAAATCTGTGGCTATAGTCTGTTGTTTCTTTGATTTTCTTGTGTTTTCTCAGCAACCAAACGGAAATTCTAGCTTGTTTCGTCTGTTCTTCTGTTACCAATCAAAGCACAAGGTCTAGACCCGGTGTGCCTGTACTTTTCTCTTCGGAACTTGCTCATTCGTTTGATTTCGATTTGATAGGTTTGGGTGGTGGTGATGATCTGGACACGGAGCTCTGGAAGGCATGTGCAGGGCCGTTGGTGGACGTTCCTCGGGCTGGGGAGAGAGTCTTTTACTTTCCCCAGGGGCACATGGAACAGGTATTTGTGTTCACGCGCTGTTGATTCCAGAATTTCTCCAAATGCCTGGCTTCTTGTTCTTGGTTCGGTCGTTTTCCTTTAGATCGGAATCGGCCATTCCGTCTTGTAGTTTTCAAGGTTTTTGGATTTTGATTTTCCATTATTCCTCTGTCCAGTTAGAAGCTTCAACGAATCAGGAACTGAACCAGCAGCTCCCTCTGTTCAATCTTCTTTCCAAGATCCTCTGTCGCGTTGTTCATGTTCAGCTACTGGTATGCTAACCACCTTTTTTTTTTTTTCGTCCCCTTATTATTTTCTATTTTGGAAGGAATTATCTTCTTATTGTTATTATCTTTGTAATTAAATCTGTAGGCAGAACAAGAGACGGATGAGGTTTATGCTCAGATCACTTTACAACCAGAAGCAGATGTGAGTTAATGCTATCCCCTTTCTCTCTCTTAATTAGTCTTTCTTGGTTCGCTCTTGTAGTCTTGGTTTCTTCTTTTCTTTGGTTGATTATGCTGCCAAGAATGTTGAAAGTAAGTAAATTTAATTTAATGTGTATATGGGTCAATTATTTACTTTCCTTCTACGTTTTCATGCTCATGTTAAGTAATTTGAAGTCATAAAGGTTCATTATAATTGTCCCAGTAAGTGTCCTGTATTTTTTTTGGTGCTCCTTTCTGGGGCACTAACAAAAATGATGGGTTTTAACTGCTGATTATTTGACATATGCCTTTGAAAATGTTACAGCAAAATGAACCTACATGTCTTGATCCATGCTCACCCGAGCCTCCAAAGCGGACAGTTCACTCCTTCTGTAAGATTTTGACAGCATCAGACACAAGCACACATGGAGGGTTCTCTGTTCTTAGGAAGCATGCCAATGAGTGCCTTCCTGCATTGGTAATGACTCTTCTTTAGTTCTGTTACTCTTGTTAAACTCACTGTTATCCCAGTGCTTGATTGATAATGTGTAATGCTTTTTTGTTTTCAATAGGACATGACTCAAGCAACTCCAACTCAAGAGTTAGTAGCCAAAGATATTCATGGGTATGAGTGGCGATTCAAGCATATATTTAGGGGTAAATTGTCTTATGTTATTTTGCGGCTTGCGATTATGGTTTTTGTAATTTGGGAGGCTTTTCACCTGATGGATGGTAAACTATAGCTTTTCTACTTTATTAACTTAGTTTTTGTGTATATATCTATATGATTAGGGCAACCAAGGAGACATTTGCTTACAACAGGGTGGAGTACCTTTGTCACTTCCAAAAGATTGGTAGCAGGAGATGCCTTTGTTTTCCTTAGGTAGTTGAACCTGAATTGTTTTCACTCTTAGATTTTGTTAGAATGCATCCAGAGTCAGGTGCACAAATGAGCTCTGGCTTTATCTGCATGGACCTGTCTTGTAGGGGTGATAATGGTGAGTTACGAGTTGGGGTGCGGCGTCTTGCTCGTCAGCAGAGTATCATGCCATCATCTGTGATATCCAGCCAAAGCATGCATTTAGGAGTGCTTGCTACTGCTTCTCATGCTGTTACAACTCAAACCCTCTTTGTTGTGTATTACAAGCCAAGGTTTATTTCCCTCATTTGTTGTCAATCTAGATGTCAAAGTTCACTGACTACCCTGGTTGTCTTAGCAAAGAGTTTCTTATCTCCAAAGCTGCTTTTTGTTCAGGACTAGCCAATTCATTATAGGTGTAAACAAATATCTGGAGGCAGTAAAAAATGGGTTCCCTGTTGGAATGCGTTTCAAGATGAGATTTGAAGGAGAAGACTCTCCTGAGAGAAGGTATGATATCTCTACAAGAATTAATCTTTCTGCATGTTCTGTTCATACTTTTATCTGTTCAGTGATCCTTATCCTGTGGAATTGTTATGGGCAGGTTCACTGGAACTATAGTTGGGATTGGAGATATTTCCCCGCATTGGTCAGAATCTAAATGGCGGTCCTTGAAGGTTGAATATGCTTCTGCATATCAGATTTGTAATTCTAACCGATTTTCTCTTATTTATGATATTGCCCTACCATTTCTCCTATTAGATTCAATGGGATGAACCTGCAACAATTCAAAGGCCAGAGAGGGTTTCTCCATGGGAGGTAGAGCCTTTTGTTGCTTCCTCTTCAGTTCCTGTGAATCCTGCTCAGTCAGCAGCAAAGAACAAAAGGCCACGACCTGTGGACATTCCTGCCTCAGGTATGAGAAACTATTCTATCTAATTTGGCCAGAACTCTTGGTGCTAATTTGTTTTAAATGATTTGAAATGTAGAACTTACTACCAACTCAGCTGCTTCAACCTTCTGGTATCACGGATCAACACAGTCACATGATTTAACCCAATTAGGAAGTGCCAAAGAAGTCCAGAGCAGTGAAAGCCAAGTTATCTGGCCAATGAGGCAGAAAGAAACTGATAGCAATCATGTTGGCAGCAACTGCAGCTATACCTCGAAGGTCCATGCTGAAAGCACTTGGCTGCCTTCTCACACGAATGTCTCTTTAAACCTTTTTCCAGATGCAATGGGTGAAAACAAGACACCAACTTCGCGACCTTTTCTCTCTGGTTACCCTTCACCTGCTCCACTGAGGCCAAGCAATGGTGCAGTGCATGATCAGGTTGACATTGGGAAAAAATCCGAGTCCTCTACTGGCTGCCGGTTGTTTGGAATTAATCTAAGCAATAGTAGTGGTCCTCCTCCTGAGAAGGAACCTGCATCTGCAACTGTCAATTCGAGCTGTTTGAGGGGACCTGTTCTGGCTACCTTGGATGCTGATAGGGTTCAAAATGTTGATAGTTCAAAGGCTTTTAAGGAACAGAAGCAAGTCCCAGTAGAGGCATCGCCCAAAGAGATGCAGACTAAGCAGGTCTCTGCTATTTCTAATTCCACAAGAACTCGTACAAAGGTATTCCTTGGGTTATTTACTACCAAATTTCAGTAGGTTGCTGTTACTTCTTTTATGTCTCTGATTCCCGTAAGATTTATGGATGTCAAAGGTGCAAATGCAAGGGATTGCAGTTGGTCGTGCTGTTGACCTGACTGTGCTGAAAGGATATAATGAACTCATAGATGAACTTGAGAAAATGTTTGATATCAGAGGATCTCTTTGTGCTCGTGACAAATGGGCAGTTGTTTTTACTGATGATGAAGGTGATCAGATGCTCGTGGGTGATGATCCGTGGCCGTAAGTGGCTTGATACGCTTTATACTTACTTTTCCCCCTTTTCAATCAGATTTTGGCATTTATAGTTCTCTTTATTTCAATTGCAGCGAATTCTGCAAGATGGTAAGGAAGATTCTCATATGTTCAACTGAGGAGGTGAAGAAGATGACGGCTAAATGTAAACTTCCATCGTCTTCGTCATTGGAGGTTGAAGGGACCGTTTTAAGCTCGGACTCTGATCATAAGTCTGAAACATGAAAATTTAGAAGCCGTTTTATTTATTTTCCTTTGTGGTGTATTTTGTTTCCTTTGGTTTTGGAAGGTGGGAAAGAGACCCTGGTAGTAGTTTATTTTGCAATGTGTTTTCATTTTGGAAATAGAAGGGGTGATTTACGAATATGGAATACGGTAAATTGACGAAGTAAGTAAAACTCTGATCCCAAAGGATAGGATGATTCTAGTTTTAGGACTGGAAACTCAAAACCTGTGTATACCTTTGCTTTGTGGGGGTGGTGTGGATTAACTCAAAGTCGGTTAAAGCTTAAAGCATGTAAAAACATAAATGCTTGGATCGTGTATACTTTACTTCTTGCAGTAGGCAATAGCGGGTTGCATGTGATGATTCATGACTTGTAGCTTTCAAACATGCCTGCCTCAGGTGTCAGGTGTCAGGAGTCAGGGTCAGGGAAAGTCTTCGATGAAAATGTGGACATTGGCCCTGTGATTTCCATTTAATATGAATAGGCCCCATTTATGCCATACTGGTCCCAGCCCCAATAATGGGTCTCCCCCATTAAAGTTCAAAAGTACTTGATTCTGGTATTCGGAGTATCAGTGTATGATGCATATGGGGATCGAGGCAAGTTAAAGATTTTGGATATTTTGCTGGATTCCAATTTCATTTGGATTCCGAAACGAGCGAGCAAATTAAAACTTTCTTGTCAGAGATACATCAAAAAAAAAACTTTCTTGTCAGAGAAAATAGTATGGTGTGGGAAATGGCTGGCGGAGGCGCATGCTTGAAGAAAGAACGGTGGATTGGACTAAGTTGTACTGGGAGCCAAAGTTGTTGTCGTGGGGATCATTTCTGCCTGAAAAAGGAGCTGCTGTCCAGGTCGATGATGGAGAGGAATATCTTAAAAAAGGAAGAAAATCCTTTGATAACGACATTGAAGATATGGGTGTCTGTCATCTGAAAGCTTTGGGTTCCAACTCCCTGTCTGATGCGGCAAACGGGGAAATTGCCTTGTATGGGATTCCATCCCATTCCCAAATGAAGCTAGGGGAACACAACTTGAAGAAGTCCCATGTATTTGGACAAGAACTTCATCTATGATCTACCCACCATAGGAGTGCTAACGTTCACTTGGTGTGGGGTGGAATATATAAACACTCTTTTTATTATTATTTTTTAATTAAATTTTTTTAAATTGAAAAAAAAAAGAGAGAAAGTACTTTTGGGTCAATAAAGACCCAAGTGCAGCATTCTCTCCACCATAGACATATGGGGGAGGGAAAAGCAGGACTGCTGACAGTTCTTTCATGGGGATAATGTTATAATAAAACTTAGTAGTGCTGGACTTGAAATAGGCATTGAAATCGTGTGTTAATAAAAAAAAAAAAAAATCATATTTTAAAGGGTAGAAGCAGAACCCTCTTGTAAACATGTTATTCCGGTTTCGGACAATGAAAAAGGAG